ATATATATATATACAAATACATATGAAATTAGTTTTAAAAAAAGCAAATAATAATACAAATCTGAAAGAACAGTCTAATTTAAACAACAATACAATACTGAAATAGGCAGTGGTACTTCACCATTCAAGCTTACTTATTAAATAAATTAGTCTTACTCATACATTCAACAATATTTTATACAATTAAAAAGTATTACTAAATCGACTGGTGCATATATCTCAGAGAATATAGGAAAAATTGTTTTGCACATTTTATGTTTCACGTTCGTCATTACTCAAATTAATTTTAACATTATTATTGAAATGAGTGAATACTAGGCTTGTTGAGATTCATACTCTGAAACAATGTACATATATAAAATGATTATACTATTTAAATCAACACTGTCACTAAGGTATATTAAAAGTTACCATTTGTTAATTTGCCATCATTGGTTATACGTGATTTTTCTTCAGTATTGTCTCCTATTCCTACATCTGCTGTGTAGGATTCAGTACTAACAACAAATTAATAATCAGTAAGTATTCTATAATGTAATTATTAAAATGTGAATATGTAACATAATAAAGGTATTAATAGATGTTGCCGCTGTTTACCTATTTCGAAAGTGTTCCAATTGTACATTAGCAGATTCCAATTGTTCTAAAAGATCTTCATTTGTCCGTTGCAATTTACGAACACTATTAGTTGCAGCATCTACTTCATCTTGAGCTGCAGTTAATTCTCTTTTTAATTCTTCTACTCTAGCTCTTACTCTTTTTACTTCTGCTTCATATTGTTCTGATCTTCTCATTGCATGTGAAAGTTCTGTCGTTTTTTCTTCCAAAGATTTTTTTAGTATTGTCTAATAATTATTTAATTACATTGCTATAAATGTTTACTACAGGTATAAATTTAAACTAAGATATTAGTACAGTACAAACCATATTCCTAACTAATAATTCTTGTTGTAAGTATCTTGTATCACTGTCAGATGTGGAAACCGGACGTGATCGTCGAGATTCTATCCTTTCCTGTAAATCGTGTAATTCATTACGAAGTTGTTTGTTTTCTCGTTCTAAGAAAATTTTTTCTGTTTCCAAACGTTCTCGTTTTCCCCATTCGGCTGCATTTTCTGCTTGAAGTTTCTCTAACTAAAATCATGTAATTAGATATAACCATAAAAATATTATTGTTTTAAATACTTTTATGTTTATATTTATAAAATTTACTTCAGCCCTAAGTTCACATAGCCGACGAATCATTCCTTCTCTAATTGAAACTTCATCCATTATGTCATCAACTTGAAACCGTTGTCTCAATTCAAGCAACTCTCTTGTTGTTTCAGCCTCACTTTCTTCTAAGTCTTCACACTGCTTTCTTAGTTGTTTTATTTCTGCTTTCAATTTTTCCATACCACGATGTAAGGA